ATTTTAATGAAAAATCATATTTTTACAGTAAAAAGTCAATCCTAATACTATTTACTTTATCCTTTATTTTGTACTTATCGTTAAAACTTAAAATTTTCAAACCATTTTCATTAGTGTTCTTAAAAATTATAAAATAACGGTGTTAACTTGTTCAACGCAAATTATTGAGCATTTTACCACCATCATCATCGACATCTTGAAAACAACATTTAGAGATTTATATATCTGATTCAAGTATAGATATTTGTGAAAGCCAGGAATAAAACAGTTGGGGGCATTGACACTTTCATGGAAACCGTTAAGATGGTCACAAAAATTAAGAATATAGATAGAAAAAGAGAAATGCTTCTGTGTAACTATCTAATATACTTATAAAATGATTTATCGTAATATTTATATGTACTTGTAAATGTATGATTTTAAATTCGACTCACATAAATAGCGATAATATATAATTTTATGTTAAGTTCGATACCTAATTATAATTTATCATTATGTGCCGTAATCTCTCTCCTCTTAGACTAGAGTAGAATATCTCCTCCCTTAGAATAGAATACATCTTTGTATAGGAACAAAAACAAATTTCCAAAAAATATAAATAAATTGAAATTCGAAACCCATAATATTACACAGTCAAAGTTGGTGAGTATACATGAGGCCAATGATGTTGAGGATGTACCATGTCAAATAAAAGAATGGACGTTAGATGGGGCTACCAACTCTCACACAGGGAGCTCCCAGTTCAAAGTAAGCAAGCTGTATATGCAATGTGCATGTGCTTACTGCTTCGTGACACTAGCCAACTAAAGCTTTGACTTTTATTTTTTTATTTTTCTCGAAAAAAAAAAGGAAGAACTATTTCCACGCTGCCAAGTTACCCCCTAAACTATCACTTAATTTTCGTTTTCCTTCTTAAATTTTTTAATTAGAAAATTAAGGACTTAAACTAATTTTTATGGCCAATTTCCCCCTACCGTTAGTATTTCATAGATTTCATCCAAATTAACGTTAACTCTTATCACGTGCACACCACATGACTCTCCCTTGTGGACAAAAGTGTCACTTCGCTAGACATTCAGACACAAAAGCTATAGAATCACACATATTTGCATAGATTTATATTTTAGAAATCTAAGGTTTTCAATTATTTTAAAGAATGAAGCGACCGAACTACTCTCACATGTTGTGCACATGCTTTCATTTAACAGAAATTTGGATGGAATGAATGCAAAATTAACAACAGGGGGCAAATCAGCCAAAAAGAAAAGTTTAAGTCCTTAATTTTCTAACTAAAAAGTTCAGGGCAGAAATTGAAAGTTAAGTGATAGGTCAAGAGGCAAATCGGTAGTTTACTCAAATTTTCAAACTACAAATGTCAGACTTTTCTATTATGTATTATTAAGTTAATAAACCCAAACCTAAATGAAAGCATAAAATTCAAAGAATTAGTATATATCTTAGGGAACAATTTATGTGCACTCTAAGGTTCACCTACTTAATTATCCACCCAGTTGTAACTAAACTCTTAGGGGGTGTTTGTTTGGCCTCCTTAAGTTTCACTGGATTGGCTAGGATTAATAGTGAGTGAAATACCATGTTTGTTAGCAGCCGGGATTATCTTTAATGAGACTAAGAGGGATTCGCCTAGACTAAATGCCTCACTAGGTGGTCTTAGCGAGACCCCCCGAAATTGGGCGGATTGCTAAGACCAGCTCTCCTTCGCCCCTTTCCGCTTCACTCTTCGTCAGTTCTCTACCTTTCCCCTCCCGACTGCTATTTTTTCCCATAAGACTCCTCTTCCAGCGAAGCCACCATGGATCTGTGGTCAGAAACTCTTCTTTGAGAAACCCATTTCATGGAGTTTTTGTAAATTCATTTCGTGGATCTGCAGCCCTTCCCTTTTCAATACCAAATCCAACTCCCAAAATTTCAACCCAGAAAACCAGAAAATCCAAAAAGCCAAAAACCCAGAAAACTGAGAAACCGAAAGCAGATTCAACCCCATCTCCCCACCTTCGAGCCACTCACGCATGCATCCCGCCTCCAACTCCCAAATTTTCATTTTCGTTCTTGCTCTTTGGTTTGATTTTAAGATTTGCAAGGGATTTTGTGAGAGGAATAGAAGAGGTAGACAGAGATTTGCAGTGAAGATGAAGAGAGAGATTTGTAAAATCTTCGAATAAAAGAGGCAGAGAAAGATTTGAAGGGGGATAGATAAAATGGTAGAGAAATGGGAGAGGGGAGGGATGCAGTGGGCGGACAGAAAAAATGAGAGAGGAAAATGAATCAGAGCTTGATCAAAATAAAAAGAAGAAGATAGTTCTAGAAAGGAAAATGATAATTTAATAATAAAATATTAGTATATATAGATTAAATTAATAATAAAATATTGTAAATATAAATTTAATAATATAATATATGAGTCTTGTTTTTAGTCCGATACAACATCAAACGCTTTACTAAATTAGTCCAGCTTAGTCTATTCTAAGCCAATCCAGCTTAGTCCTTAAAGCTAGTCTAGTCCGAGATAGTCCGGTGCAACAAACGCACCCTTAGTGTACTTGTACACAAGTCATTATCAGATGATTTATTTTATTAAACACCATTGATTTTTTTTACAAATAATTAATCAAATTTTGTAGAAGGTATTTCATCAAAAAATGATTTTAACTATCGTCAGTTTTTCAAGACATGAATATTAAACATACTCATATTAAATGATTTTTTGCTGAGATAAATAGTGATTCAGGAAGTAAATTATTCTAGTTATGGAATGTGTATGGTAATGATATGTGGGATAAGTATTGTGTATCAAAAGATGTTAATGAAGAGGGTAAGTGATGGTTGAGGAGTTGGTCATTGGTGCAATAAAGAAGATCATGATCAAGGGAGCCGAATCTAGGGAGAAAATGTTCATCAAATGGTCAAGATTCGTTGTGTAAAATGCAAGAAAAATAAATGTAGAAGCTCGTGACTTCTCTTGTTATGGAGAAGCTCGTGATTTCTTTTGTTATTCAGAAGCTATTGTCTGAAAAAAAATAAGTTTACCTTAAGTTGCAATAGGATAAAGTAATTGGGTTTGGTTTGGGGAATTGATGACTTCGGATTTAACTACCAAGTTGTATATATCTAGTTGGGATATTGAAGCTACTTCCCAAAACAGTGTTCCATCCCTCTCCTTTAGGAGAAAACAATATTCAAACAATTTATTTTTAAGGAAAACTAATGAAAATGGTTTGAAAACTTTGAGTTTTAACGATAAGGACAAAATAAGGCTAAATTGAATAGTACCATGATTGAATTTTTAGTGTAAAAATGTGGTTTTTCGTTAAAGTGAACAGTACTAGGAGCTTTTCATTAAAGTTCCCTTATTTTTAATATACAACGAAGTCTTTATTACAAGAATCAAACCTAACACCTCTTACTTATAAATAAGATCAAATTTTTTTCATGATCCTTGTGGTGATACCTTACTTTTAAATAGACCCCTGTGGTGATAAAGCTATTAATTGTAATCTTGTGGTGAAATTCGATATCAATCATAGTCCAAATTAGATTTTTCCTTTCTTCTGTCATTTGTAGGGGCAAAATTGTTATTTTTCGTTTTGATTGATTCCATCAACCAATCATAAAGTGCCATATTGACATAAATTTTTTTATTTTTTAAACTTTTAGATCTACAATAAAAGAATAAATAAACAATAAAATTACAAGGTTCATATTATCAGACTTTCTCATTTCAAGAGAGTCAAGAGTCCAAATTCAAGATTTAAAAAACCATAAAGTACCTTGCCGCGTTTAGGTTATAATATAAGTTATTATGCAAACATTGAATTTAGTTTCATTTTAAGAAGAACAGTGGTGGACGGAATGGCTAGGGTTATGTGAGAGAGAGGGGGGAAGGTGGTGGGTGGTCGTTGTGGCTGTGGCTGACAAGGGTAGGGATTGGGGAGGGATTTCATTTTTTTTTTCTTCTATTTTTTTTAATTATAAAAAAGTGGAATTACCAAAAAGAATGGAATGACCTTTTTACCCCCGCATGTAGATGAGATTTTGACAGAAATTTCAATTTGAACTACAATTGATAATGAACTTCACTAGGGTTAAGATTAACATTTTTTTTCACCACAGGGGTCGATTTAAAAATAATGTCTCACCATAGGAATTAAGAAAAAAATTTAACCTATAAATAAAAATGAATGCGACTTATACCATAATATTAAGTGACACTAGTCAACCAATTTACACAGCCCATGTCTTGTTGCATCATTAACCAAACGAAAAGTTTGTTCTATATCAACCTCTCATGCATTTATTGGGTTTGCAAAATGGTGCTCGGCCGTATCTATCGTTCACATGCTTGTGCTTGTTTACCGAAAAAAAATGCTTGTGCTTTGAAAAAATTGATCGAAAGATTAGAGAGATACGAGTAATGCTTAATAGGAGAAACCCAAAAACAAGCAGTACTTTTGTTCAAGGTAATGGTGCGCGGATGAGGGGGGTAGCATGTCTTCGTTGATTTGTTCACAATACCTTTCATAGAACATATCAAAATTAATAATTTTTGTTTTCCAAGTCGTGGGACAATGTATACATTGAGTGGAGAATTTTCTTCCAAATAAAAATGCCAGTATATCTATATCACTAGTTGGACCATGTGTACTACTTTATCTTTATTTAATTTCTGTTGGGTTGTGCCGTTGTGGGTTGGTGATTTATCAATAATTCAGACCCATTCTACATTAGTGTCCGCCTCAAGTATAGTTAGAGAAATATAGAGAAATAGAGAAAAATGTTAAAGAAGTTCTTTTAAAGTAGAACTCTTAATGGACTCTTTGACTGTGACAGCCCGTCCTGAATTATTTTTATCGATAGCGTGAAATGACAATTTTGCCCGTGAACATTGTGTGGTTGTGTGTGTAAATGGGCTAAGCTGTTGGACCCATCTATTTTTCTTCCTAACTTTTTGGACCTAATTGGAAGTAAGATTTTGTTGATTTTGTTTGGTTGTCAACTGGACCACACGCACACACACACATCCAATCCCGTTGACCCTCTCTCTCTCCTCCCTTTCGGATTTTTTTCCATTCGTCTGCACACTCGTTCGGTCATCTCCTTAACTCTCGTCATCTCTCACAGATCGAGGTGTTTAAGACCACCATCGTACTCCTCGTGACTTCACAAGTTGAGTGGTACCTTTGGGACGACGAACGGTTCACGGGAACTCGAGTTACCCGAACTCCGGTGAGGGGTGATTTTCCTCCGACGTGATCGCGAGGGTTTTAAGTGGTTTTGAGACTTAAGAAGGTAATACTCTTGCTTTTCTAGCACGTGGGTTCAATTTTGGAGTGGTTTTGACGTAAGAACACTCGGGTTTATTTAGTTGCAGGGTTTGGTCGGTTTCCTTGAATTTTTCTGGCGAGATTCCGTTGGTTTTAGGACTCCAAAGTGGTAAGATTGTGTTCGTATCATCCTAAGCTTCATTTTGGTACAAATTTCATGAAATTTGGTTGAGAAATGGCGGAGATATCAAGCTTTGAAAATTTTCCAGTTTCCGGTGACACAGACGGCGGCCAGCGGCGGAGTCTGGCGATCCACCGGAGAAGAAAGGAGAATATTCCGTCAACTTTGACGGAATATTCCTAACGGCGATTAACGGCATCAGGTATGTTTAACGAAATATTCCTAACGGCAGTTAAGTTTTCATCAAGGTTGGCCGCGCGTGGGGGCGTGTCTGGCCGTGCCTTTGCCGGCGTGTGGATGGTCCAAAAAGTATTTTAAAAATATGAGGATGTTTGTGGTATTGAGTAGATCACATTGGTATATTCAAACACCCCATTTGAGCAATGTATGAGAAGTTATTAGTTAGTTTCGTTTATGTGCTTTAAATACGTTTATATAGTTGTTTCGCATATAGGTGAGACCTATCCTCAGGATGAGCACAGTCAATCAAGACTTGGGGGCTACGACCCTTCCACATACTAGTGAGTGGGCTTTTGGTTTTCCGTATATACCTATATACTTGAGATTTGTCCCAGAAAATTGATTTAAAATGAAATTATGTTTAGAAATGCCATGCCTCATGACTTATACTTAGATTATGAGTTAGTATAGTATGCATATTGTGATTTGACGCGGTGGACGCTTAGGTATGTACCAGGTGAGTTGTAGACTGTTTATGTGAATTGATGATTATGTGAGATGTGTTGAGAGCTCATAAATCTGCCCCTCGGTGTTAGTGTTCCTGTCCATGGTTAGGGCATAGTCCTTCACGTGATGTTCACCTCCTGCACCATATGCTCACCTTGGATCCAAGTTAGGTGCATAGTCCTGTCATACAAACCACTATAGGTGGTTCCGACTCATAGGTGATCGGTGATTATTCGCACAATCTTCACATGATCATAACACTTAAGTGTATTTATTTACACCCAGTCCTGTCGTACAGACCACTTTACGTGGTTCCGACTTGTGTGCAGGTATAATTGTTGAGATGTGGATTTAAGCCATACAGGTCACGTTAGGTGACTCTGGCTAGATGGATGAGCTCCAGATTCAGCCATACAGGTCACGTTAGGTGACTCCGGCTGACATATCATTTGCATTGATTTATATCACATGGCTTACATATTTTTATGCTGAGATATTCGACGTGGCATACTTGTGAATTTTGCTATTCTAAGCATAGTTGTGGTATAGATATGTATTCTATTTTCTGGGAAATTATACAGGTTTTATAGCGAGGGGTTACAATCTTTGATAATTGAAATGGTTTTGAAAAGCTTTGTTTTTACCCACTCACACTTTCTATTTTGCGCCCCTCCAGGTTCTAGTTAGGAGTGCTTTTTGGTGGCTCGTGAGAATCCATGGCATCTCTGACAGATTACGACCATTGTATGGCCACCTTTAGGTGTTGTATAATTAGTATTTGTCTTGCTGGACTGCACTTAGGCTACTTGTGCTCTGGTTGTGAATTCATACTTAGTTTTGTCTTGCACTTTTTTTTTCATATCTAGTGCTCTAGTTAGTTTGGTTTTTATTTATTCGCATTTCTTATATTATTATTACTTCCGCACTGTGCACATGGCTACGTCACCTTCACGTGACAGCCAACAGCCTTGATTTCGGTCAAGGTGTGTCATTGACATCTCATAGTTTAACGCCAATTTTTGTGCCAACATTATAAAATATTTTTGCAAAAAACATGAGGTGACATAATCTATGAAGAGTCTCACTTTTAAAAGAGCATATTTGGCATTTATCAGTTAGTTATATTCCTTATATCATGATAATGTTGCCAACTACATTGCATGAATATTTAAACAACGGTTGCATACTTTGGGTTAACTAGAGACCAAAAATATGATGTGATAATATAAATTAGTCTTTACCGTATATTGTATTGAATCTATGTATTATCATAATTATCAATCAAAGACGTTTTGGTAATAACTCTCATGATAAACTGATCATTTATTTGATGTTGATATATAAAAAAAATGAACGATTCTAATTATGATGTACATGACGAAAATTTGTCAATTATAACTGCATGGAGTACTATGGATGCAAGTTTTTTTTTTCTCTTCTTTTACCCACTTCTTTCTAACTAATTTCCAATATGTGTGTTTTTCTTTTCAGTCTCGTTAAGTTGTCTCACTCAGTCTTTATCATGTCTGTTGATGCAAATTTCCACCGTTTTTAGTCCTAAGTTAGTTTCTCTGAGAAAGTAAAGTGTTTAGGGCTTTTTTAGGGTTGCAAAAGGTCTCAAAATTTGGTCAAATATGGGGTATTTATAGGGTTAGGGCCGGCCATATAGTGTTTAATGGAGAGATATTCTCTAAATATTCCCAAGATATTTAATAGGAGATAATATCTTGAGATAATGGGGGTAATTATCCCTAATTGATTTAAATTAGGATTACTTACTTGATCGGAGTCAATCTTCAATTAGGAATGTATTAAAGATAGGATTTGGGTAATTAATCCTTATCTTTAATTCCTTGCCAAGGGCAGGTGAGCTGCGGGCAATTGTGTTCAGCTGCTGAGGCCTCCAGGGGTGTGAGCTGTGCGTTGGAGCATCTAAGAAGCCTGCCCATTTATTGAGGGCAATCGTGTATTTATTGAAAAAGGTCCACATGTCGCCTCTTGAATTTTTGATATTATTTTAGGCTCCACAAATGCCCCCACACCTATTGTGCTACACACATGGAAGGGGCAATCGGTGTAGAAATCCTAAGCTTCTTGGGTTTGTAGAGTTGTTACCCAATTTGAACTTGATCTTCTTCCTTGATTTGGAGATAGACTTCTTCTAAAAAGAGGAAAATAACTGCCCCCAATACCTATTTAATTCCACCTTAAGTAGAGGATTAAATAAATTTGGAGAACAATCATTATTCCAACAAGAAACAGAAGCCAGAGGAAATTTTTATTCCCCCTCCCCTAGCGTTTTTCTTTTCTTGCCCTTGCAAAGAGTCGTCTCTCGTTGTTGTTCTTCTTCCTCGTGTCACACCAAGGTGAGAAAATTTTGAATTTTCTTCTTCTTGAATTATTGGGAAGCCTTGGGGCTTGAAACATTGGCTTGCCGGGGGCCGAGGTGGTGTGAGTGACACATGGCATAGAAGCCGTGGGCCGCTGTGATGTGGAAGGGTCGGCTTGGGCTGGTCCTTTGGAGTTGCTTGTCGCGGACCTGGGCTGATGCGCAGTGAGGGATATAGAGAGACCGGCTAGGGGCCTTGGGCCTTGCTGGAAGTCTTGGCGTGTGAAGAAGGAGAAAGGGTGGAGGCGTGAGCCTCCCCTTTTGCTGGGCCGTGTGGCTTGGGCAGCATATGTAGGGTCCTGAGGCCTTCGAGCCACGCTGCCCCACACACACACACACACACACACACACACACACACACACACACATATATATATATATATATATTCATATATTCTCTTTTTTTTTATTTTTTATTGAGCTGCCCTCTAAATATTTTTTATTCGTGCTTTTTGCAGAGACTTTGAGATGTTTTCCCTGACCACAAAAGTGACGAATATTGTAATACCCTGAAAATTTAAATATATGAATTTTATATTCATAATTGTGAATATGTGAAGAAAATCGAAATTAAATCGATGTACGGTCCCAAAAATAGAATTGAGAAAATCGTAAAGTTTTGTTACTGGAAGTATTAATATGTATGTATTCGTGGTATTGAGAGTTTATATTATTTTTAGGGAATATATATTAATTTATTTGAGTTCAGTTTTAAATTAAACTGCTTACGAGGTTTAAAGTTTGGATATTAACTATTTAAAATCTGTGGACCTTTTTGGGTCACAATTTATATTTGAATAGGGCTTGAACTCACGAACGCGTAGGCGCAAACCGTTCATGAAACGGAATTATAATGAAAGAGTTATTGACGTATAAAATCAGGGCTATTTTGGTAATTTTATTTCCATTTAGAAGGCTCCAGAAATCTAGAACCATGAATTGTGCCACGTGTGTGGCTATGATTGAAGAAAAAAAATAAATGATGGATGGTTGTGATTAAAAGAAAAGAATAGAAAGGAGGAAAAGGAGGAAGGAATGTAGGGAGGGTGACCAATGGGGAGAGAGAACTAGGAGGAGAATGGAGAGAAAGAGACTCGGGGGATCGGGAGTCTGACCTGTGTGATCTGACTGTACAAGCCGACGGTTCCTCACCGTTTTTCGTCAAATGTTTCGACGAATTGGACCTATAAACCACTCTCAATCATCACCTTGGCCCTCTCTCTTCCAGTTCCACCAAAAATTTGAGGGAATTTAATGGTATTTTGGTACAAAAATCCTAATGAGTGCCGCGGAAGACTGCCCAAAATCCATAAATTGTGAAATGATTTCATACAATTTCCTCCACTAAAACCCTCCCCTAGATGTCAGAAACAAAGCCCAAACAACTAAAGAGGCGGTGGAACACCTGAGATGAAGGATCGAACTCACCCATTTATAAGGGTTTCTGGCAGGTTTGAGGCAAATTGGAGCCTTTCTAGGCCAAATTGGACTTGGTCGCAGGTATAAAGTTTGCTCTACTCTTTGAGATCTTCATTTCTGTAATTTTTGAGAATTTTTAGAAACAGTTGAATTTTTCCGGCGAGCAGGGGCGGCCGATCGCTAGCCGCGGCGGCGGGTGTGGCGGCGCACGGCCAAGGAGCTGACGTTGTGTTTTTATGCAAATTTTGTTATTCTAATTATGCTTTTGAGACCTAACTGTTGTGGTTTGAATATTAATACAATTGTGGTATAGGTTGGATTAAAGGAATATATTTGGATTTGGTTCGAATTTTTGGAAATGTGAACTACGAATGGCTTGATCCCTGTTTAGGGTACGTAGGTAGTCTAACGAGACGTTAGATGCAGTCATACAATAAGTGAGATTAAATAAACGAGATAAAGCTTTGATTGAGAAATTGAACTAAGTAAGGAGTTGGAATTTTAGTATTAAAGGAAAACTTATGTTTTGTATATGTAAATTGAAATTGGGCCTATCATTGAAACTATTTCCCGAAATATATATTTTCGGGCCCGGGGCATTACAAATGGTATCAGAGCAAATCATCATACTCTACGAGATGCATTATTCGTGAGTCTTGTTGGTGTGAATTATGACATGCATTGTGGTTGCATTAATTCATATTTTTAGGAATAAAGTGGCATTTATATTTTATATCTGAAATACATATATAAATTGTATTATGATTGTGGTGCAATTTCCTTGGTAAATATGAAAGTTTCGTTAATGGGAATTGTGATTTACGTTTATAATGCATATATTGTGAGTTATGATGATTGAATTGAATGGGAGTAGGAAAATTTTAAAAGGGTGAGCATTTGATTAAAGTTTTGGACTTATCTTGAATTGAATCGATATTATGCTATGCATTATGAAAATGTTGAATGTTAAGGTGATTGTGAGGTGGTGATAAGTAGATGGAGAATTTGTATTATACCTGGCACTTGAGAAATTAAATTGGGCAAAAAGACCCATGGATATAAGGGTGGATATGTGAATTGGGCAAAAAGGCTTGTGGATATAAGGGTGGATGTGAAATTGGGCGAAAATGACCTGTGAATGTGAATTGGGCAAAATGACCCATGGATGTGAATTGGGCAAAATGACCCGTGGATGTGGAAAATGAATGGGCACAAAGACCCAATGTTTCGGAAGAAAAGCTCCTTGTGTGTGTGCTACGAGAAGGGAAAAAAAAAGAAGAAGAAAGTTTGATGTGTATTGGCTAGGTATATTACAATCTTTTCCAGCCTACTAGTCACTGATGAAGATAAAAAAGAAATGGTGGGTGGATGTCACATCTCGGCCCGAGCCCCCACCACGTCCCAGGCTCGACTCCACCGTAGCACAATATTGTCTGCTTTGGGCCTCGACCACGTCCTCACGGTTTTGTTTCTAGGAACTCACACGAGAACTTCCCAGTGGGTCACCCATCCTGGGATTGCTTTCGCGCGAACTCGCTTAACTTCGGAGTTCCTACGGAACCTGAAGCCAGTGAGCTCCCAAAAGACCTCGTGCTAGGTAGAGATGAGAATATACATATAAGGCTTATAAGATCTATACCCCTGGGCGATGTGGGATGCTACAATCCATCCCCCTTAGGGGCCCGACGTCCTCGTCAGCACACCACGGCCAGGGTTAGGCTCTGATACCAAATTGTCACATCCCGGCCCAAGCCCTCACCACATCCCGGGCTTGACTCCACCGTAGCACAATATTGTCCGCTTTGGGCCTCGACCACGCCCTCACGGTTTTGTTTCTGGGAACTCACACGAGAACTTCCCAGTGGGTCACCCATCCTGGGATTGCTCTCATGCGAACTTGCTTAACTTTGGAGTTCCTACGGAACCCGAAGCCAATGAGCTCCCAAAAGGCCTCGTGCTAGGTAGAGATGAGAATATACATATATGGCTTACATGATCCACACCCCTGGGCGATGTGGGATGCTATAGTGGACATGAATGAAATTGTGGAATGAAATTTGAGTTCATTTAATATAAATGATTCTATAGCTGAGTTTTTACGTTTGATGA